GAGTACAATGATTCAAAATGTATTAACTCAAAACATTTATAATTTACTAATTTACACAGAGTTCTCTGTGTAACACCTAGAACAGCCTCAGTTATATTAGCGATGAGAGATACACCAGACTGTTCCTGGTTGAAACCTGGAAGCTAATTTCTTAACATATTTGGGTGGACTGCTTTATCCATGCAAGACATTGTTTTGCTAGTTTAGAAAAAAAAAAACAAAAAAAAAAAACGATAGATGGGTAATAGCCAACTTAGAGTCAGATTTGCTCTCCAAAACGTAGCATATTTTCAGCCACATTCCCATCCCTGCAAGTATTTTGACACTTAATAATTGTCTCTGTTCTTCAGTGTGTAGTCATGGTTCCAAAATGAAAGCTAAACCAGCATCATGAGCTTTACCTCCACGTACATTTAAGGTACTTACAGAAGATTGTCTGAACATCCTATTCAAGGACATCAAGGAAAACTTTATGGACTAGAATAAAAGGAAATAAGCACAAAAGAAATCTCAATCAGGGGGAAGAAAAACAACTTTTAATGGTCAAACTCTTGATCCTAAGGTTTCAAGCTCACTTCTTTTCTTACAAAAGCAAACTGAGTTCACGCTCAAGAAGTTGCATCCTTGGGTTCATAATACTGTCACTGAGGGCAATAATTTGATGTTAACTATGAAATAAACTGGACTGAATTTAATATAACAAAAACAAAACAGGCTATGCTAATAACAGTCTGTGTATGTGTCTGTCATTGAAAAAAAATCACAGATGCATTTAATTCGTTTATTGTAATCAGGAAAAGTGTCAACAATTCTGGAGAGATGACGCTAGGGTGTCAGCCATTTTTGCGGGTGCTTGGTTGGCCAGCTCAACTGGATAAAACTGGATAAACCATTAAATCTTCTGATTACTGTAACGCAGATGTTAGCTAATTCTAGTGAAAAAATCAGTAGCCACCACACATAGATGTTAATAAGCAACTTGGTTTGTTGCTAAGGTTGTAATTTGTGAAGCAGCATCCGTTTTCATGGAGTTTGGTTTCTGTTTTCTCCGTAATAATAATTTGCTCACACCGAGGCTGCTGGCTTGTGTCTGGCTCTGAGCTCTGGCTAGCTTTAGCTTTAGCTTTAATGACTTAGCTTCTGTAAAATGGGCATTTTCCTCTGGGTGAGGGCAATTTAAGTACCAGATTAGGTTTTGCTGTTATGTTTTCATGGTGCTTCCCTTGCAAACATGGGTAAACTTTGTGTCTTCATGCACACTGAAGAACTTCCTTGGTAATGCTGAATTAGCATGTGGCTGTGAGTATGCATATGACTATTTGCCAGCAACACTGTGAGCATGTTGTTATTCATGAAGTGGACCACAAATAACTGGACATATGTGAGGCAAATAAAGCTGGAAATTGTTTCTGGTCTCTACAACTACGTGTCATTAATTAGTGACCATGTGTTTTTGTTTGTTTTGGTTTTTTGTTCTAAAATCCATAAAACTGCCTTTTAAATATTACTTGAATTGTAGTATTTGCACTAAAATTTGCTATCAGATCTATTTACAGAAATAGTCATTTAAACCAATCAATTTATAATTTAATTAGTCTTCATTTGTTACCCTACTGTGGTTTATATGAAAGAATTATATTGACTTTTAACCTTAATTCCACAAAAAAATAACATAATTATGCTATTACAGCATAACTGACAGACAGCTGGCAGAAACCTCAATTAATTTGTCTCTAATTACAATATTGGTGTATACGTAAACAAACTCACCGTACTGCAAAGTGAGGCAATTGCCTCTGTGTTTCCCGTGCTTCATTTTTTATAGTTTTTATTAGCTTCGATGCTGAAAATCGTTGCAAACAAGTAGTCTGTTACTGTCTGTTTCTCCTTTGACTTGAAGTGCCTTTTTTAGAAAGCTTGTGAAAAGAGGAGATGCATATCTTGATTGATCTTGCATGTCTTGACTATATCAACAACAGGAAGTGGTCTAAAGCAGGAATGGTGATTCATGTGCCAAGGTAACACTAAGTAGAAGTAAGTGAGGTGAATGGGAGTTCAAACGTTTCAAAGCTGGTATTTATTAAGAATATAGTTGATTAAAACTGTTTTTATCTCCTTTTTAAGAATTTTAGTTTCCAGTCACTGTACATATTTGTCAGAAGGGAAGTGATTTAAAAAAAGGGAATCAGGTGATAAATATACTGTGGATTTTAAAGAAGGGTCACCCATGGCATAATTAATTACACTCAGCATATTCATCACTTTTAATGCTAAAACAACTCTCCGTGTTTATGTTTTTGAGCTGCTTATCATTTTCACTAATTGTTTTATTAAGACCTAAAAATCTCTTTAATCCTTTTCCTCCTCCATTTGTTCGCATGCTTTCATATCCATATGCATTTAAATCCGGCTGTAGTTACCAGTTAAAATGCAAATGCAGCTCACTGGGAATAATGGCCCCGGAGAGCTGGCTGGATAGACGGACACCCTATGGCTCTCGAGAGCTTTCCCCACAGCGCTGAGAGCAGAGCCAGGTGAGTGCTTCTCTCCAGGTGTCCCTCTCATGCCATTGTCGAGGCTTAGCGGGTGGCACCGAGAGCCCACTGCCCTTCTGGCTCGCCAGCGGGTTTCATGGCCATTTTGCACTGAATGACTGTTCATTGACGCAGCCAGTAAAACCCGCTGCTGACTTGGGAGGAATAAGTTTGTCCAGCTCCAGTGGCTTCAGCAACAGTGGGGATTTTGACTCCATGAGGACCCAATTAAACCTGGGAGGCCCTCTCTGAAGGAATAATAACAATGATAAATGCACCTCTGTGGCCAGCTTAAAAAGCAGCAGGGAGAAATGTTTTATTGTGCTGGCCTGTCTTGACACAATTTACTCCAGGCTTCTGGCTTTTGCAGCATCAGGACGAAAACCTCACCTTGTGATTTTTTCCCCCTTTCCCTTGGAGAAGCCTAATGTCATCCTGAAACATTGTGATGACTCGGCATTGTGTATCATCAAACCATCCTCGTGTGCCCTTTGAAGTGACTTTACTTACTCACTGCTGAAAGTACAAATTATTTGTTTTTAAGTTGCAAGTCGGTTCAAGGACACGTTTGGGGGTATTTGTTAGAATAAAAGCAAACATTTTTAAGTTACTGATATTAATTTGACCTCGAAAATATTCATCAACTCTGACGAAAAAATCTCTGAATTCCTCTGGATACGCCATCTCATTTGAGAATATCTTCTGTTTTTCACATTTTGAGTAATCTTATTATGCTCTTTATTCGTGTTTACCCATCTTAGAAAAGACATTTAGTCATCACGTATTTTCCTCTGTCAGGTGGTAATTTTGAGAAAAACTCCTTTAATTAGATAACAGGCTTCTGTATTTGCACTTTGCCAGCAGTTTATCAATTACTGCTTGTGGTTTCATACTGCCAGTCAGTCTTTGTCTGGGTGCTCGAGCCTCCTCCTCACCACGCTGCAGAGCCGTGTTATTGTACTTAAACAAATCAATTCTCTTGCAGTTGAGCTTTTTTTCCCTCCATCCCCTGTCATTATGAACTGTTTGCAGTGCAGAGCACATTGATTTTTCACAGCCCTGGAAAAGCTGTTGATGAATAGCACAGAGGTATCTGGGGAGAATCTGGCTTTAAAAAGGAGGCACCCAGCGTCAAACCCTCCTCCTCCTCCTCTCTCCCGACCCATTGAGCCCCCAGCGCTCCTCCACTTTCTCTTTTCAGAGAGCGGCACTTCTAACAGGGGAGAAATGCCGCCTGAAAAATCTTCCAATCATAAAAAAAGGATTAAAAAAGTGCGAGACACAAGGGACCACCCTCTCTCGCTGAATGCTAAAACACACTTTGTGGTTAGACAGTTTTTAGATTTTGGGTATTAGCCTTGTCCTGTCAACCAAAGCATGAGCTCACTAAAAACCTGCCTGGGAACAGAAATGGCTAGTATGCTACGTGTCACCTGATGAAAACGCCATTAAATTTGTTCTTTTCTTCTATAACTCATTCAGCTCCTTGGAATTTTATACTTCAACATTTTAAGAGTGACAAAAACGTATTTTTTCTTTGGACCTGACTGAGCCTCATCTCTCTGAACAAACTGAGAAACTACTACCTTAAGAGATGACTATTTACAAGTACTACCTTGATGTGGCCCTTCATTTAAAGCAGGGAACTTAAGTTGCACTCTGCACCCTCTCATGGCCCTCTCTCAAGATCTGAATGACAGGCTTAAACATCTACAATTTGTCTTCGCATTTGAGAGTTTGTGGGACAACAAACTGCTGAGGTCATCCGTTTGTCTGAGCACTGACATCAGTGTTTGCTGAATCCCAGTAGTCGGACACCTTATCGTGATGAATTCACAAAGGGAACTAAAGCTTCTAAACTTAATTGTGCTACAAACAAAAGACGTGATTCTGAACTGTGTGGACCCTACATGACAAGCAGTATGTTTCTATATATTTTGGTTTAAAATTAGCTGCTGGTTACTTTCTTCCCTAACTGATTTATAGGTTTTGTACTTCACCAGTCACCCTTAAAGAAAATATGGTCATTTTTTTAAGGGTCTGCATATCACTGGGTATATGCAGGAGTTCTGCCTGCCAGACTGGGTGCCAAGCTATAGTAAAGGACCGTCCTAATAGGCTTATCTGTCAATTGGGAGTGAATTGTGAATGCGCCACGGCAGTGAACTTACCGTGTGGTGGATGTTTATGATGCCATGCTGGTCGTGTGAAGTGTCGGCTGCTCTTTTGATTTGTCCTTTGTGGGCACGGGAGCGTGAAGGAGCTTATCCGTGCTGGGAAGAAGTGTATCACGTTAAGCGAGGCGCAGATGGAAGCCACTCAAAGCCCATAGGAATCTGTGAGAAGTGAAATCACTGAATGAGATTGAGTTTCAGGAGAATAATGCAAATGTAATAATTCAGTGTTCGGAGATTGGTAAATAATACTGCGACGACTGATGTATTTTCTTTCTCTGATTTTTCTCAGGGGCAGAAGAATTGAGACACTGGAGTGTTTCTCCTCCTGGTGTGTGAATGGGTGGGGGGGTCCTTAGTGGTGAAGAGTCAAGGATTGAAAATAACACAGGTGAGTAATTTATTTTTCTGAAACATATATGGCGGAGGTTTACATAGCCAAGCTCAGATTTAAATCTGCGCCACAGCAGGAAGTGTGAGCGCTCTGCAAAGAGCTCGCTGCTGCATGTTATCATTACACAAATGCACTCGTTAAAGTTGTTCCCAGCCTTCTTTTTAGGCTGCATTTGTTTGCCACTTGAAGTTTTAAATTAACCTTCTACATCCTGATGGTGTGCTTACAGTTACCATTTAAATTGGCTAAACTGTGTGAAAGTCAAAAGAGATCGCCTATGTTGAGCGAATCAGAGAATCCTTAATGGGGGAAGCTAACGCGGGTTAATTGCTCAGTTGCACTGTCCACATTTGTATCTATGCATTTCTGTTGATTTGTAAGCAAATAGTATATAGTCAAATATTTTGGAAAATACTGACTTTTAAACTTTGTTAGGGGCTTTATGGTTATGTAAGAGATCCCTGGAGGAGGCGCAAATCAAGCCTCAGGGGCTCACAAGTGTACTCCTAGTGCTGGTCTTAAACAGGGAGGGTTGCGTCAGGGAGGGCATCTGGTGTAAAATCCACTTCACATCCTGGGATATAAGGGAGCAGGTGAAAGCTCCCATTTTGGAAAAATGTGTTGCAAAAATGAAGCTTGCTTACACAGAGTTAGCAAGGTCAATATCTCTTTTTTGATGTGGTGTTCAGGAAACAGGAGTAAACACTGCAACAGATAGAACATAAAATAGAACATCTGGGAGAGGTGTTCTGACTGACTCGCATTATTATTGTATGATTTCATTTACTTTGTTTCCTATAAACATAGGTGATAAAAATGTACACCTCGTGAAGTTTGAAAGCCGAGCGCACAACTATATGTGTCCACATTATTTTTAAAATCCTAAAATTCAGCGGTCTTTGCTGGGAACTCCCTATTTAGCTCAGATGCTGCTTTGTGTGAAAATATGTATCAAAGCAGGAATCAAACAAATCTCGTTACTGGAAACAGATATCTGCCTCCCTTGTCACTACAGTGATATAAAGACCACGGCTTTGTTTGCACTGGCATGCGCTGTCCTCCGCTGTACTCGAGGGTCTTTAGTAAACATGTGATGGCAGCAGTTTGTGTGTGGCCAACATCAGCTCTCCTCTCACAGAACATGTTGATTTCATCAGGAGCTCCTGGGAGGCTCTGTGTAACAAAGTGCTTATGTTCCATATGCAGTCCGAGCACAGGCACGCACACACACATGCAGAAGGTCACAACTATCCTCTTCATCGGCGAGCCACCAGCTCATCCTTATGCAATATGGAGCTCAGTGTACATCCCGCTGAAGGGGGAGAATTATGTTGTGGAAAGCGAATGTAATTGGTTTGTCCACTGTATTATACAATGCAGCTATGGATTAGGAATTGGGGCATCCAGGACACACACGCACACACTGAATAGATAAGAGTAGTTAATCTTGATTAGAGCAGTGTGAATGCTGAGAAATACGGTGCTGTGACAAGCATCTGCCTGCCACACAGCTGAGTGGGATAAACCAAAGTGATTATTGTGGAAATGTCAGACGAGGTAGACGGTGATAGCAAGTGAAACGAAGGGGGATGTGACATGAACGGGGACATGACATGAGTGCCTCAAAGTCAGTTCTCTCTCATTTTCAGTGACAGACTTTTCCCCTCTCACAGTGCCTTTGTGGAGCGATGGAGTGGAGGGGGGTTGATGATATGGCTACAGTCTCAAACAGAGGAGTGTAAATAGTGGCTGATAGCCACATAAATCAGCTGGGAGTAAATCTTGTTGGGTTGCAGCTAGTAGTTTTTACAGCATAACTCCTTATTTACTAAATCAAAGTTGTTTTACAGCCATTTCTTTAGTCTGTAGACCATCACAAAAAAGTAAAAGCTTAAGGGGATATATTCAGATTTCTTGTCTGAAAACAGTATCAAACCAAACCTTATTCAGTGAGGAGGAGCTGGTGCTTCTGTCTGGCAATTTTTGCTGCATAAACCAGTGTAAAAATTCTTGGCTGGGTGCATTCTGTTTTACTAATTGATTAATCGACTAGGTCGTTCTCTACAAAGCAGACTAGGCACCCGCTTTCATTTCACCGGGTTGATATCTAAAGGTTGCCAGGTTGGTCTTTTTCTCTGTACTGCCAGTGTAAGCTCTAATGAGTAATTGCTTTCCTCTGCGAAATCCGAAGGTGCAGACATTCTGTTAACTTCGCTAAAGGAAAAAGGGGGAGGGGGGGAAAAAATCTCCTTCCTGTCAGTGGTCTGTCTTTCTCTCTGTTCTTGTTAGATCTGGAACTGATAAGTGAGAGGCCTCTGGTAACTGAACAGGAAGGATAGAGGGCCTGGCCTCAGAGCCCCTGCCTCTGCACACATGTCCACCTCCCCCTGCTCAGGCAAACAAAGGGAGCAGAGCCTGCCACTTAACTTCAGGTTTGAAAACATTCAAGCCTATTAGAAGGATAATCATCACTTATTCGGGTGAACTCTTATCCTGAAGAGATTTTTGTTGACTATAACAACAGAGAGGCATTTTGATAAAACAGGCCGTGGCCAAATTAATGCTTTGCAACCATTTCACATCCAGGCCCAATCACAACTCCCTTGTTCCCCTGGCTGGTGTTAAGTCAAGTGGAAGTACTGTATTAACCAGTCACATGGCAGAGCGGTCAGGATTTATTGTTCATCCCAAATACCCACAGGTCTGAATGAGTAGCTGTTAAACTGATTAGTGTGATGAGGCTGTTGTAGCCTATATACCCTACATGCTAAAAGCTAGCTAGCATAAAGTAGAATCTACATTTCTACTAGTGTTTGCTATGTTAAAACAAAAACAACAAAAAATACAGAGATTGTCTTTAAATGCAGGGTTATACACAACAGATTTCCCAAAGTCAGCGCGAGTTAAAATGGCCCAGAAATGAAGATCATGTGTAATCTTTTTTTGATGATAATCTTTTAGGGAAAAGCACCAAGCTTAATTAGAAAGAAAACATAGGAGTATAGTGGAAAACGTGAATAAGCGCTTGTTATAGTACAATTTAAACTGTCCGTCACTGTCTGCTTGGTTACAACAATCTAAGCTCGATGTAAACGGTGCACTACCTTGCTTTATGGGGCCATTTTGCTGTCTGTAATTGCATTTTATTCCTCTAGATAACAGAAGCAAACTTACATGATGTGACATGACAAGATATTTCCAGTGCAGTAACCATGGAGAGTGAATATTTGCCGTACTTATCTAAACCATCAGTACCAAGAGTTTAGTGCAAAACTATTTTGCTCTCTACAGAATTCAAGAGACAGGTCCCCTTAATGAAATTCTGTTTCAACGCAAGCTTCTCTGAATAAAATCCCAGTTCTCTAAAAATCTTACTCTGCTTATTACCAGCAGTGGGATTGGAATGTCCAAAAGCAGTCGGGGGAATGCTGGATCGTATTTGACTGGTTTATAATGACACGACTTGTGTGAAAGCGGCTACAACAAACATTACTTGATCTCGCTGAGAAACCTTGTGGAATTATTTGAACAACATTTGTTGTCGGTGAACAGTTATCCAAGGATTTTGCACTTAAAGCTTTGTGTCAAGATGACTGTTGACTCAAAGGTGCATTGTTCAGATGAGTGCATAGATTATTTTCCTGTACGGTACCGGCTGAGTAACTTGGCATGACAAGATAGCACTCGAGGTTTCATTCTTGCAGTGTGCTTAAGATCTCTCTATCATCTTATCTTTTGGACTTTGAATTTGAATGCTCATTTGAATTTTTTTTGTTGTATTCTTTTTTAGTTAAAATGAAGGTTGGAAATGTTGGACAAATCCCTTTTTCAGGCTGAGACTGCGGTGGGGTGGTATTCCCAGGAGAAATTGTAAGATAGCATGCCAGTGTGACAGCTGACTTATTAGCCCATTAGTCATTGGAGAGAAAAAGAGGTGGATGAGCACAGCATCCGTCAAGAAAGCATCTCTTCTTTCCAGATAGCCTCCCCCAACGGCCGCCCAGGAATCTTGTAAGTGTCTCCCACTGATGTAGGAGCTGGAGTGCTGGGGTCAGATAGTACGGCCAGATCTCTCCATCCCGGCGCTCTCTGTTGCTGCAGATGACCTAGCTGCCTGTCCTAGGAACAGACCAGCGTAACAGAGGCAGAGCTCAGTGTACTGTACTAAAAATAGATGTAGCTTCATATCCCCTTTCTCAGAGACACATGCAAATGTAGATGTGTCAGCTTATACGTGCATGTATCCTCAGAGGTGGTCACAACCACTGGTAGCATGTCAGTGACTGCCTGACCGTGTGTGATTGACAGGTCGACTGTGGCGGTACAAAGTATCTGTGTACTCGGGACAGATGTTCTCCACAGCTTGCTTGAGTCAACGTACATCAGGAGGAAGCTGTTAACCAACACTTGGCTTTGAGACGCACCTCCCCACTGCTCTGTGACCCTGCCGAATCGTCCTCTACATCTCATCTGTCTTTGTATAAGCTATCAACCCGACTCTGCTCAAACAAAGAAAAGCAGATAATATTAAACAAATGAAGTAGTGCTTGCTTCCACTGCTGCAAAATTGAAGCTGATATCCCTTTGACATGCCATCCACGGAGAACTTGTCAATTTCCTGCTCATGATGAATAGCCTGAATAAGCCACGCTTCACGAGCCAACAAATTAATTAATGACATGCTGTAATATGTTTAAGAACACTTGGCATTGACATGTTGCTGGCTTGTGAATGGTCTGCCTCGAAATAGGACCACATTAACCTTTCTATAGCCTCACGCTACTGTATTATTGAATTCCTCTTTGTTAGAAAGCTTTACTAGGGCCTCATCAAATTAGTACATTTTTGTTGTAAAATATGACCAAGACCCAACAAGCTAAAGCTCCACACAGCTTAACTGTTCCATTTATAAAGTGTCTGTGTAAAGCTAATGAAATGATTATACTGGCACCACTGCAGGGCCTTGAATTAGCACATCAGCTGATCTGACTGCCATT